CTCTTCGTCTCACGCCGTTCAGCTGAATAATACATCTTTCATAAATATAAGATTCTTTTGACTCTGTTAGTATCGCTTTTCGTGGGCTAACGTCTATATAATACTTACAAAGATATTTTTTGCTTTATTTCGTTTTAGTGTTTTGGCAATTTCGTGCAAAAAGACAATAACAGTCGTTGCAAATCAGCTTCTTAACTCATTCGGTTTCTGGGAAAAAAACTAATATCCGAAAACGTGTTTCTGACGTACGTAAATGAAGGAAAAAGTCGGATATTGTTATACATTTTGTGAAAGAAAATGGCTTACATTAAGCAACTATTTATTCTATTATTATGGATTTCGAAAGTGGTCTGACAGTTGAAGACAACTGTCGAAAAAGACGCTCCTCAAAATTAAGCAATAAACAGCTGAAAAAGTTAGAAAAACCGGTCTCAGATAGCATTGGTACACGGAATAGAAACTTAGCGGGGATGTTTCGAGCATCCTCAAGGCTATCTGAAGAAAATTACGAAAGGCAAAGAGTATCCTCGTACATTCAGAACCAACAGCGTGAGACAATAGTATGGAAATGTCTAAAACCATACGATAAATTATGTGTGACAGAACTTCCATCATTATGCACGTTGAAAGATATTTTACATTTTTCGACCACGATATCTACCCAGGTCAAAAAATCAGATCGAGATCTTACACGATCTTATGAAATCTTACGGAAAATCATAGAAACGGATTCATCTTATAAAAATCATACAAGTAAAAAAAAAATCTGATGAAGTTTTACTATAAGATCTTACATCAAGAATCAGTTTCTACGTTTCATACAGAATCTTACAAATTCTTATACGAATCTTGCCAAATCAGACGGGATCGTACAGGAATCTTATAATTTCTTACACCAAGATTCTTTGACCTGGGTGGAAATGAAGATCATCAGAAGTCCTATAATTCATTAGTTTTACGTAAAATTCAACTTCTCCAAGAAACATATAAACTCGTACACTCTCCAAAAATTTTCCAGAATCTGTAGGAAATTTGAAAAAAATCCTGTACAATTGTACAGAATACTATGTGACTACTTTCATCTTTTTTTTTCTCCAGGGTAAACGCAAGTGTACCTTTACTGGAATAGAAAAGATACGATTCTCTGCAGAAGTCAAGAATAATTGTTAATGAAGAATCTTAAAAAAAATTAGAAGACGTTGATATGTCATCTAGACCATAACGGAAGGGGTCCAATCAAAGTTTCGAAAATTCGAGGACAAGGAACTGTTTCGACACTGTGACCATATGAGTCTATAACTAATGGTTATGCCTTTTGATGATGAAGATAAAACTAAAATGAAATCTTCTGATTAGACGGAAAATATCAAATTAACTAGTCAAGAAATTTTCATCTGCCATGTTACTATAGAACTAAGAAATAATTGAATAAACAGCACAGTTTGTGATTTTTATCAGTGATCGTACGCAGTGTTGAACGGATTCACATATAGACATGTCTAAAATCTTCGACCTTTCCAATTTAGTTATTTTGATTTACAAATCTGTTAGATCAAAAGTAGAACCAAAATAGGTAGATATTTTGAATCAGTTCTACTTATACTCTTTTCGCTCCTGATAATCTTCTACTACGAGAACCAACTACAGTGAAGTAATGAGTCAGAGAACGAAGACGTGCACTAGATAAGTAGAAAATCAAAAACGCGAATCTAAAAGAAAGTTCTTAACAGAAGATAAATTCATAACTTTATCAAAAAACTGTACGATCCATCATAGGTACAAACCGGATCCCACGAAACTGCGATATGTTTTAACAAAGAAATTCTATGAAAAATGACAAGAAGCTCTGAAACTGCCTAAATGCGAATATGGCTGTCCAGATGTTCCTGACATTCCGCTTCATATCCACACTTGTCTACCTTTCGTCGAGCTCTTCTCCCCTCTGTGTGGGCACACTTAGTGGAAGACCCTCTAGCATATAACTTACACAAAATAATTCTCTGGGAAATACAGTAAAACAAATGTGGATAATAACACTGAATAATCCATACCTGTATCTAACATTGCCATTATTTGCCGTAAGTTTCGTTGATTTTCACTGTTAGTAAATTAAAATAATATCTTAACTTTTATAGAATTATTCCGTGTGCGCTTCATTTTTATATCGCCGTGTCACCAAGGGGACGTCATTCCTTTTCGATGAAAAGTGAATAAGTATAGTATGAGTAATCTTCAAAGTCATGGCACAGTCATGAGAGAACACAAAAAATAATTTTCTATTAAAAAAAATATCCACTCACTCAAAAATTCTTAAATAATTCGATGAGAGGGCGTTGTAAGAAACGAATGCCTCACATTTTCTTTTCTGTTTTTCTTTCATTTCTATTCCTGATAATAGAAGGATGGTTTCGAAAATTTTATTCCGTGTGTTAAAAAAATGAATTCGATGACTGCATGAAATTTTTTATGTAATACAGAATAAACACGTCTATAGTATAGACGTGTTTATTCTGCATTACATAAAAAATTAAAGTATAGAATTTAAAGTATAGACTCTATACTTTAACGGAAACTTGACAGACAAAAAAGAGATATACGAATGTCTGTCTATAGATAACTAAATCGTAAAAGTTAGTCATCTGTGTAATGTAAAGAGCGAGAAATAATGATAAGTAAAACTTTTGGTCAGTGAACTGATCGTACGTGATCTGATGACATGAAGCGATGGGAGAAAAGCGAATCAAAAGCGGCTTAACGTCCGAGGTGCCACTTGGGAAAATAAATGCTTTGGTCAGAGGATGAAACTATCATCAAAGATTTTCTTAATTATTTCTGTTTCGAATGGCATGCAATTCATTCCTTAAAACGGAGGATCACTTTTTAATGTTAGCGAACATCATAGAAGAGGATTATCCTGGAAAACATTCGAGGTTATGGCTGCAAGTATTAACAGCATATGGAGTGTATCTTCCATCTTTTTGTAATTTTTCTGTAAATCTGTAAAACTAATGATACTTGCTGGTTCTTGAGTTACTGGTTGATGAAAATCATTTAGCAGGGTCAAAGCGTACTGCACAAAGCGTCTATGCTCACCATTCTTATTCAGCGTTTATCTTGTTTTCGAAATTTGTTCCATTATATGATCAGATTGCTTCTGCTTGTTAAAAAGAATTTTTTTTATTGATATTTTTAATTTTTTTAAGTACAAAAAATTCAAGTTAAGAAAATAAAAATTTCTTCACTTGTTACAATGAATGGTTAAAGCCAAAGTTCGAATACAAATTCAATCACAAAAAAATAGGCACTGTGTCCAGTTAAGGGAGCTGTTCATCTGTTTCACTTTAACGGAAACAATGCTCGAGTGATCCATTCTGTCTCTTAAAATGCGTCGTCAATATCTTGAAGTGGATCGAATTGTGAATAACATCGATGATGAGTACTCACTGTTCGCCGTTTCTAAAATAAACAAACAAGCACTTATGTAGTAGTAAGTTCGCAGGGATCAGTGCTAACCGGAGTTGACGTGACGATCGGTACGTTTTCATCATTAACAAGTGGAGCTGCTTTTCTTGTTGTTCTTCTTGATTTCGGGCATGGTTTTGATGTAACAGTTGAAGTTGTCAGTTGTGAACTGGCTGTTGGCGTCAAAGGTAGTTTCTAGAATACTCAGAGACATTAGCGCCAAAGAAAACATGTTTTTCTTCCACACTTACAAAAATTGAGTCCTAGGGGTCAGGATGCGCACGTTTTACCATAGTTAACGGCGCATGTATTTATTTTGACGAGATCTTATCTACACTAAATTGTCTTTGTCTCTAAAACGAAATAAAGAAACAGCGGAGTTATTTTAATGATACAAAACAAAATCTTTTTTTTTAAACTTCGCCATATTACTTACACTGTCTGACATGTATTTTGACCGTTTTTACAATAATCCTCTTCATCTTCATCTTCGATGATACTCTTGCAATAACTATGAGCCAAGTACTGCCCAACAAAACTGTTCTTTTATGGACACGAATCATTTGTTTTCAATTCTATTAATAGTTCCTGATCGAAGCAAATTTGTTCATAAATATCGTCCTTTTCGAAGTCTGACTCATCATCCTAAAGAAATAGATCACGAGGATATGAGATCTTTTTGTTCCAGTCTTAACAAAAATATTAATAAAAATGTTTCACTTCAACGCATTGGATATTGTTGCGAAATGCTTCTTCTTCTTCTTCTTCTTCGTCGACTTGAATAGATGCATCATAATCATCCCGTGTGCTATTGAAATCATCATCTTCGCTTTCTCCGTCGATTAAGTTGACAGAATGTAATAGCTGCGTCGTCTGAATCAAAAGAAAATAATAAAACATATTTTATGTTGAAGTAGGCGTACTTACATAGTTACTGTCTCGATTTTGACATTGTTCTGATACACATTGACAATAAATTGTACACTTAAAATCATTTCTTCCACATATACATCGCTGACAATCCGTTCTGGATTTACCACAAGTGAGTAATCCAGGCTCAGTTGGCACCATTGGCAATAGAGTCCACTGTATTTTCATACGGTCATTTACGATCGTGTATCCATTACTGTTCATCAGCCGTATCACCATGTACTGGTCAAATGTTTGTTGCCATATGCCAATTCGTCTTGATGCGCGTAGACAATGTTGATAGAATGCATTGGTTGTTGGCGGAAGGTTTAAGACGATATTTATACGATGTTGTTTGAAAGCAGTGATTGCCATTGACATTCGCAATTCGTCAAGCGATGAACAATATCAAATCTCTGCAATGATTGCGAGGATGCGAACGTAACAGAAGGACGAACATTAGAATAACATGCGATAAGTAATTGTTCTGAAGCCGCTGTTGCTGCTAACGGTGACGAACTGAAATTGTTAATATCGGAATAGCGATGATGATTCGTGAAAAATGTTCTAAAAAATTTAACTTTTGTAATGTTCTTAACGAATGATGTTGTATCACAGTCCGATAAAGCATGGAGGGACAACAATACGGATGGATCAATATTAACTTTCTGTTTTAATTCTTTAGCAATACGAATTGAATAATTATAGGGAATTTGTTTTTTGGTCAGTATAATAATTGAAATGATCAGTAACAAAAATAATTCTAAAGTCAGTAGATTTATTGAATGATCAGTAAAAAAATGACTGATC